CTTTCCCTATTTCCCCATTCTCTCTCTCTCTCTCTCTCTCTCTCTCTCTCTCTCCCTCTCTCCTTCTCCCTCTCTTTCTCTCTCACATTCCCTAATTCCCCATTCTCTCTCCCTCAGTCCCTAATTCCTCATTCTCTCTCTCTCCCCCTCTCTTTCCATACCTCTCTCATTCCTTAATTCCCCATTTTCTCTCTCTTTCTCTCTTCCTCTCCCTCTATCCACCCCCTCTCATGTTCTCTCTCCCTCTCTCAACCATCTTCTGTACTCCTCTTTCTTTTTCTCTCTTTCCTTATCAATCATCCTCTCTTTCTCTTCTCACTTTCTTTCTCAATTCATTTTTTTCTCTTTCTCCCTTCATCTCTCTCTTTTTTCTCACCCTCTATATCTCTCTCTCTTTCTCTCTTCTCTCTCTCCCTATCACTCTCTCCCTTTCTCATTCGCTACCTCTCTCATTCCCGAATTCCCCATTCTCTCTCTTTTGTCACACCCTCTATATCGCTCTCTCTTTCTTTTCCCTCTCCTCTTTCTCCTTATCACTCTCTCTCTCTTCCCCTTTCTTTCTCTCTCTCTTCCTTCCCTCTATCCTTGTCTCTCTCCCCCTGCTTCTCCCTCACTCTCTCCCCCTCTCCGTATGTTACTCACAACTCTACCCCTTTTTCTCTCTCTCCCCTTCTCTCCCTCTCTCTGGATCTCTCTCGCTCTCTCTCACTTGCTCTCTCCATTTGAACCAGACTGCAGACATTCAATTTGGCCCTCATCAGCAGAAATGGCCGACACTGTTTAACCTCCAAAACCCTTGTCCACTTTTCTATGACAGGCTCATCCCTAAAAATGCTGCCGCAAGCTCACACACACACACACACACACACACACACACACACACACACACATGCATTCTGCCACCTTGTCACACAGCATCTCTACAACACACTGTATAAATACCACAATACACACAACACAAAACACATGCTGAGCCTCAGACACACAGCCCTCACAGTCATGAGCACAAGGACGAGCAAACATCGCAACAGCTACAATCACATCTCTCACACGTGCACATGCAATTCATCTCTCTCACTCACACACACACAGCAGGAAGCCTTTTCAATTACCCCAGCGCCGTCCCGCTGCCCGGCTGCAGGCTAACCTGCGGTAATTAATGAGCTTTTATACGCTGCAATCTGATCTCAGATCAGCATTGGACACATTTGATAAGCGAAATGGAAACTGTGAAAGCTCATTCTGACTGGAAACGTAATTACCTCTGTGCGCCTGCATACACAACCAGTCAGGATGCACCAGGCCTGTCACAAACCCAGGTTAAACATGCTCATCATCACGCACAAATGAAGCTGCCCGACTCACACTCGACAGGGCGATTTGTTTTGGTGGGTTCCGCCTGCTTAGTTTCTCCTTTATTTAGTTTTGGGTAAGAGCTGCTTAAACGCAATAATTTTGGTAAATGTTCCAGCCCAATGGCTCTAATGAAGTTCAACATGGAGGAGAAAAGCGGTCACTTAGAAAGACTCTCACTCACTTACAGATGGCTATATCTTTAAAACTTGTTCAAGTGTGTGTTGATCATCTCAGAGTTATCAATTACTTTCTCCACTCTCTGTTAGATAGTAGTAAAACCATTCATGCCTATAAGTGAAATTTTACATTTTCCTTGTTTCATATGCTCTATGAGCTTGATGGAGTGCAAATCTGAAGAATTTTTTTAAATCAATCAAACCAAATTAAACTAAACGGCTAAAGTGAATTGATTTCTCATATCATAATTCTGTTTTTTTGCCATAGGGAACAACTGATTTGTTACAAAATAGTCAGGTCAAGTCAAGTCAAATTTATTTATATAGTGCCTTTTACAACAGACGTTGTCACAAAGCAGCTTTACAGAGAAACCGGGTCCACGCCCCCAGTGAGCAAGCCTTGGCGACAGTGGCAAGGAAAAACTCCCTCAACAGGAGGAAGAAACCTTGAGAGGAACCAGACTCAAAAGGGGAACCCATCCTCCTCTGGTTGACACCGGATAACAGCACAGACACAAAACAGTATAAGTGCATACAGTTTTACAGTTCTGTACAGTGTTGGGTATAGCAAAATAGCAAACAATTTTGATTGTAAAAAAAGGATGAATATTACAAGCTTTCAAAAAATTCAAATGGTGTTTGTCCAAGTTACAACTATACAAAACCTCATCACTTTAGACCAATCAGAACAGTTCTGTAGCACTTTTTCTTACCAAACTAAATTTAGTTGTTGGACATGGAGGGGTTAAGACTAGAGTGACCATATTTTGGTTTTCAAAAAAGCAAACACTGGTCACGGTGCAGAATGTAGAAAGCAAAAGCCAAAACAAAACAAAATCCTGGACATTTTGGGCAATTTAGAAATACTGGACCAATTCTTCACACCCCCAAAAGAGGACATGTCAGGAAAATTGTACGTGTGGTCATCCTAGTTAAGAATCTCTTAACATATATATATATATATATATATATATATATATGTACATATAAATATATATATCATATATATATATATATACATATATATATATATATATTATATATATATACGCATATATGTGTATGTATGTATATATATATATATATTTAAATATTTTTCAAGATACAGTAAATATAGACAATAATACAATAATAGTTATGTGCTGAATCATGCTTTTTATATGCTATATGTTTATATGTTTATATGCTTACAAAACTTAAACACAGTAAGTAAACACAACAATAAACTGTGTCTTCTTGTGAAGTTCTACACATTCAAAATCTTAAGGCAACCCATTTTGTTACGGTGCCTTTTACAGGCCCATATTATGGAAGATCAAATGACTTTGCTTCTTTGAAACAAAATAGTTTGATATAGCTTTTAGCATTGAGAATTTTTCAATATCTACTGTTCACTCTCCATTCCATACAGTCCATATGAACTAGAAACTAAGCTGCAAAACAGCCCGTTTTGAATTCGCTGCTTCTGTAATGTCTAGAAAACTAACGTTACATATATCTACCTATTCAGCCTAGAGCAGTGCAGGTCCTGAAGTTCAGGGTTGTTCTCATTATCATATATGTGCTTTATTTTAGTTTGGACCTTTCGTTTTTGACTAAAAATCTGTGAAGCAATTGTTTGATTCAAATTTAAATCAGCATAAGTTGTTTTTATATATAACCCAGTTAATAAATCAAAACAGGTTCAATATTTATATCATCCCAGCTTTTATATACAATATACTGTTTTATATATAGCGATATATATATGTAAATGTGTATAACGCTATCAGGCCTCAAACACATGCGTGCGAAATAAATAACACCTAAGGAGCTTTAATAATATTTATTTGCTATATTTAACGTTAAAGGCCTTGCACCAAATGCTCTGGAGACGCCTCATTGGCTCCGCCGCTCCTCTTGATTGGTCCACTCCTGATCTGGCTCCGCCCCCTCATCATTATCTGCAGCTGTGTCCTGGTAATGGCTTAATGAGCTGATGCGCACAGGCAGCGTCTTCTCTCCACTGTTTGTTTGCTGAGTCGTGTTGGACGGTTACAGCTGATTCAGAGCCGCTGACTTTCGGAAAACAACTGATAAAGCTGCACCGCGCGCTCAGTCTCTGCTGTTAATTAGCAATTAGCACTTACCAGCTCTGACTGCTTGCTAGAAACACTGATGTTACGTTACGAACATACAGCGAAAAGACTTTGTGGTGTACCTGGGTGAAAGGAAAGAAGGTAATTGCCATTAGTTGTTTTTAAAATAAAAATGAATGTTTGTGCGTGAAGCGTGAGACTGGTTAATAGAGCTGCTCAAACAGGTGAAGCTAACTTGCTAGCCGTATGGTTAAGGCTACTTTACTTGTACTGGTGAAAACTAGCTACAAGCAACAAACCATAGACCAGTGGGTTCCCACACTACTTCTTACAAGTCTACGTTACAAGAGAAGAAGCCAGCTTGAATTACATAGTTTCCTGAGTATTTAATCAAGGAAAACAAAGTTGATATCAGGGCTGAATATACTTCATTACTCTTAAGCTTTATTTGTGCTTAATATTATTGAATTTACATACTTATTGTTAAATTTTCAGCACTTCTTACTGCTTCCGTTTTAATTTTGTTCTTCAAAGTACTGTTACAAATCGAAATTTACCCTTTTTTTGTCCAATCCATTGAGTTCCCGCTGCCCATAAGTGCATCTGTGTGAGCGCCACTTCATCACAAGAGCTTCTGTTTAGCACATTTGCTTTTTTACTTTTATGCACTTTTAGTTTGTTCAACTAAATGTTGGTACTTGAAGAAAGATTTTGGCACAGAAAACACATACTGAGTTTTGTACAATGCTTGTTTTGTGATCCCCCCCCCCAAACAACTAAAGTAATACACTGCTAACATAAATGAGTATAAAGGGCTGAGAGGGATTAACAGGTGTTCTCTGTTTTAATAATGCCAAAATATTTTCCAAACTAATGATATTTAACAGCAAGAGATACAAAAGGTTTTTTTACTGACCCCTGTTCTGGTTTACTATGTGTCTGTTGCAGACATCTAAAACAGAGTTAAAATGGATGGACCTGCATTCCCTCTGCACTCCTTTTTGAAGGATCGTGCTCTGCTTTTTGCTTGCTTCCCTTCATGTAGCAAGTAAGTAGACTCACTTTACCCCTGGGCATCGGCTTAGCTCTTCCAACTGCTCCTCCTTAAGCATCCTCAAAAATACACCTCCAGGAGTGTGATGGAGGGGGCTGCAGTGGAGGAGAGAGAGCGAGGGAGAGTAAAATCAAGCGTAGTGAAGGGGGGAGAGAAGATAGGGGTGCAACTATTCTAAGGAATAAGGTAGTGATGAGTATGGATAGTGGCGATAGGCCCTGCTGTGTGTGTGCTGAGGCAGTGTGTGTATATGGAGAGATTGGATGTGGGTGTGTGTGTGTTTGAGCCTGACTCTGCTGTTGCCTCTGTAGTCCTGTAGTCACCCTCGTAGAGCTGTTGAGTCAGCCAGGCTGCTCCCGCTGCTGCTGGAGAGAGGATTCCTATCTGCTGCTGGGATATCCACACCCACGGAGACGCTCACTTTGACATTTCGACGGGGTCTTCCCGAACCGCAGACTGCTTCATTTTTCCAGAAAAGGAGGGCAAGAAAGAGGACAGGTGTGTAAAAAGAGAGACTCTGCGACAGGAGCGGACTCCTTGAGCTGATAGAGGGAGCTGAGGTAGGGCTTTTTAGTTCTTTTGGAGCTTTCTCTATGTTGTAATGGGTGGCCTGAGGGTCAAGTGTGTGTACATATGAGTGAAAGTAAGATTCTACTTTGATGGTAGATTTTCTGAGATCTTAGCAGGTGTTTAAATTCATATGTTGTGGATGTGGAGAAGTGTGCCGCTGAGCTGATGACCGTGTGTCATAATTGGTCCAAGTTTAGTGGATTTCTTGCATTTTTCACTCATATAAAAGATGCCAAACTGTCAATGAGGCAGCACCCTTTTTGTTACTGAGGTGATGCCCTCAAGGGCCTGTCTTTAGTACCTTTTTAATTAGGGAACATAATCTGTAACACTGTTCATTGTAAGTATATTTTCTAAGTTGTGTTGACTCCACACACCCTTCCTTGTCTCCAGCTTTTTTTAGTTCTGTTTTAAAACATGGGTGAAAAGGTACAAATGTGTACCTTTTCCCTGGAAAAACTTGTTCAAGGTGCAATTGGACCTTTAAATTGTTGTACTTATTTGAAGGTGCATTTACTTTTTGTACCTGTAGGATATATTGAAAGAAAACTGTACCTAAACAGTGCCTTTTTTTCTGACAATGTAGACTTCTTCTTTCTTTCTTTCTCTTTCTTTCTACATCTCCCACATTGCAGCAGTGCTTAGTTCCCAGTTCTTGTTGGGTGTGTTAATATGCAGTTAATATGCAGTAGTGTTTTCTGCTTTGAGAACAGCAGAAGAAAAGTTGAGTGTGTATAGTGTATGTTTGTTGTCATGTCAACTTTTGTAGCTTATTAATTTTATATTTATTAATTTTACACCCATTGAAAATGCCATCTGCCTTTGATGTTATGTGAACTTCATAATGAATAATCCAGTAAATGGTCCAAAGTGACTTGGAAAAGAGTCTTGCTACATTACTGTGCAAAATTGAGACCATCACCTTTATTTTGCTTCCAGTCAAAACCCTTTAAGCCACTAAATGCAAGTTTTTCACCTTTTCATGGTCCTGGGGTGGGGTGTGGTGGCAGAAACCATACAACTTGTTACACAGAAGCCTCAACAACTTATTTTAAAATGACCACTCCTGGCCCTTATTACAGCTTCTGTATTTTATGGGAAACTTACTTTTAGTTTTTCAAAGAAATCTGCTGAGTTATTTTCCCACACCACCAAAGTTCAGGCTTAGCAGATGTCTGTTATTTTCTGCTTCTCATGATCCGAGTAATCCCAAAAACATTCAGTGATGTTGAGGCCTGGACTCTGGGGTGGTCAGTCCATTGTTCTGAGAACACCAGCAGCTTTGTTTATTTCCTTTGTGTGGCCTGTTCACAGCCACACATCCCTTAATACACTTAGTGTTGTAGTTCTTTCATGGTGGAAGGATGGACAGAAACACCTGTGGATTTTTTTTTTTTCTTTTTTCAGTGTTGAAGCAAAAGTGGAGCCTTTTTCTCTGTCTTTAAGACGAAAGCTTTATCTAATGGTGACTTCTTTTTTTTGTGGTCCATTTTCTGTCTTTTAATCTTTTTTTCCTTTTTAACTCCAGTTTTGGGAACTTCCCCCCCGTTTAGTGCATTCTGTAACAGTTAAAGAATGGTCTACTTTGAGTTTTGAGGCCAGCCCTGCTGCATGTAAACTGGGGCATGTGTTTGTCTTGCAGCTCGAGTGTCTGTGTGTGTCTTACTGGAAGCTATAGCTTGTGCGGTAGGGAGAGACTCAGTGATTTGACACTGGCCATCAGTCCTTCTGACAGTATATCTATCACTTGATGCTGCAGGATATTAAGTTTTACTTTTAGATGCACGTGTGTGCGTATGTGCATTTATGTGTCATTTAAGTGCTGTAACCATGGTTCTGTATACCATTTCAGGGTTGTTTAGCAGAGCCCTTTTTGGGGGGTTTAGGTTAAATCGTTTTGAGGAACTGGTACTCAAAGGTTCCCTACAGGTCTGTAACAGTGAGGGTTAATACTGGAGTGCTGTGAAAAACTTGCTTTCTTTGTGCTTTTATGTGTCTTAATCACCAAACCAAGCTCATTCCACAGCTGTCAAAATCAACCTGTCTGCTCTGCCCACAATGCACTGTTTTTGTAGCAACTGTTGTGAGGCTGGGCAGGCTTTACTCAAGCTGTAATTCAGACTTTGTCAAAACACCTAAATGTTGAATGTTATTCATTTTAAATAAATTACATTTAGTTTCTGTGCATGTGGAAGGTGACATTTGGGATAGATTTTTTGTCCATGTCATTTGAGCTAATGTTACCGTGGAAGATTTGTCGTTTCCTGTCTTGTTCAGATTAGCAGTGCTATGACATTAAACTCCAACCTGAATTAATTAGGTTGTTGGCAATTTTGTCAAAGCTTGTCTAACCTCAACAGTTGCTATTAGTGGATAGTTATTCATCTGTTTGGTGAGATCACTGTATCACTGCACCGCCATTTTAATGACTAGGAGAATCAGTACATACTGTTTGTGCTTTACATATTAATGCAAGTACAGGAATCAGAAAACGGTGATTTACTGTGCTGTAGAAAAGCCATCAAAACTAATCAAACTTATCAGCACTATCACCTTTTGCATAACCCTATGGCTGGCCAGCACAGTTCAGTGTTTGTGTCTGAGAGTGGCAAAAACTCCAGTTTCCACTGTGTTAATTGTTGTCTTAAAGTAGTTTTTACAAAAAAAGAATCAGATCAGGATGAGCTGAGGTTTCAGTATCGGCTTTTTCTTTAAAAACTACTGAGCTGCTTAGCAGATCCTCGTCTTGGTTTAAAACGTTTTCTGCTAGCTCTGTCTGTTTCTGTCCGTCTGTTTGTCTGTCTGTTTCTCTTTCTGTGTATATTTAATGGGAGGCAGATGGGTTTGGCCAAAGCAGAGATGAGGCTTTGCATTTGAAATGCAAAAAGCAATTAAGCCAGGCTAGAAAAGGAAAGATTAAAATCTACAAAGTCTGTCCTTCTGCAGAGATGCAGTTTTGATGTGCTTGCTTCTAGAAGTATTGTCTGTCTGACTTCTCATGCATTTGTTCTCTTGACAGTTGGCTATGCTACATGTCTGTGTAACAGCTTTTCAGATGCAACAATTAGTTTGTCCTCACCAGCTCACCATGTTGACTATTGATGGAGTGTGATGTGTTCATGTGAGGTGTGATCACTTTATTTCCCCCCACCTCTCTCACACGCACATTTTGTCGAGACAGGTTTTGTACTCAGATTAGCTATGAATGTGAATAACAGCTTGGATAGACCGCAAGGAAAGCTGCACAACAATTTGTGCACCTATGGATGCTTCCTTATTATGCTTAGAGAGCGGATTCTGTCAGCATTGTCAAGGTAACTGGATTTCACCATAGCAACTCAATGACTCAGCCGAAACTAAGGTCTGGAAGCCAAGCGTCAAGTCTGTCCTTCTCTTTCACACAGCTCAAACGGTACAGCCCTTTAGCTCTGATGTAATCAGGGCAGCCTGTACTGATTTATGAGCATAAATAATATAGGCAGAGCTGTTTGAATCAGTGAAGAGCACTTGTAACTTTTGGTTTCACAAATGAAGAGTGCATGATTGTGCATTCTTAAAATGAAAATTCAAGACACTGAGCAATATTCCCATATCGTTAGAACACTCACTGCAGGAGCTGACACCTAGTTATTTCAAATCCACACTCCAGTAGCATTGGATGCTAACTACTGGAGCAGCACCCACATCACCATTGATCGAGGGACAGACTCAAGGCTGCTGGCAGCTTTTAATTTCACTTCTGATATAGGTGGACGAAGTGCATTTTTTCCATTTCTCATGCCGATTGAAGTTAGTGAATAAGCATAGATTTTTCACTCAACAAAACGGCTGTATTGATGATGCACAAGCATTGCCTTGGCGTTTTCGAGTTAGCATCTGAGCAGAGATGGAAAAGCACATGAAATCAAATCACCTGTTACAGCTAGCTCAGAATGGCATCTTCCTTTCAGCCTTTTACAGACCTCTTCCAAATGGTGCAGAACGTCCATCTATTTTCCTTCTTTTCTATTCTTCAAGCCTGGAAAACATAGGTTTTGCTAAGTGTGTTATCTCTGTTGAGGAGGGTAAAAGCTTTTTCTCTGATAGATTCTGTCTCCTGCCATGCTGTTATGTGAGTGCCCATGTGCTTCTTCCTTGATGTTTTTAAAAGGGCGGGGGGTGGCCAATCCAATATGGCTACCTGTTGTTGATCTCTTGGGACTTTAAATTTGCTTCATATAATGAAATGTATGGAAAACAGGCTTTCTGTCTGTTAGTGTCTGCTCTCTCTCACTCTCTGATCCTACCCCAAGGCCAGACTGTGACACATGCTCCAGAACGACAGATTGCGTGTGAATGAGTGCTGGGGAGAAGGAAGAGAGCCACATTTCTTCATCAGCGATCTCCTCTGACAGTCTCTCAAGGCTTGTGCTAATGAAGCCACATTTATCTCTGGCAGGCCCAGATTCCATTAGCCTATGTCTAATTGTGTTAACTCTTGACATGGCCTTAAATGGAGTATGGTGGTCGTTTTGTGTATTTGTGGGGTTTGAAACAAGAACATGCAATGACTTATTTATGTTTGTATCCAAAAATAGATCTTCCATTTCAAAAACTTGTTAATTTGTTACTTTTCATTTGTCGCACATCAGAGTTAAAATTTCAAATAGTGTACTTTGAGATGAAGGTACATTGCCTTCAGTGAAGCGCAAATGTGATTGCACAAACTTGGTCAATACTTTCTTGCTTTGTCTCTGAATAGGCTGCCAGACAAAGCTTGTGTGATAATAAATTAGGTCATAAGCTTTTGTGGGTACATTGAGGTATTGTCAGGATTTTTTTATTTTTTTATTTCATTATGTATTTTTTTTTATTTTCCATCAGCTCTGACCTTTCATTAGAGGTTTGTTCCCAGGTGGTGTAGATGTCTATCATTTTGCCCTGTTATCAGGAGGTCGCAGTTCAGTTTCTATTCAGCGTAATTGGCCCTTCTTAACTGAATGTAGTGCTG